TATTTGAACTATCTAAAATACCTTTATCACTTCTATTTGAAATTCTTTTTTAATTTCACTTTTAACAGTTTTGTAAATGAATTCATCCTTATAAGAAGCGATGTAATTTTTTAGTTTTATTTTTGTCTTTCAAGTCTCGATTTTAAGATTTCGTTCAACTTTAAAGTCATCGTGAGTTTTTTTAGCTAGTTCTTTTCTGTAATTTTTTAATACCTTGTGGTGATATGGTGTCTGGATTTGAGGACTTGCTGTTGTATAATTTGTTTAGCAATTTCTTTTAATTCATAGATTTATTTTGTTTCTGTCTAAACAACTGTTCCCACAGGTGGAGCTCCAGAAGGCCCAGCTGGTACGGGAAAAACGGAAACAACAAAAGACTTGGCGAAGGCGGTAGCCAAACAATGCGTTGTTTTCAATTGCTCCGATGGTTTGGACTATATAGCTTTGGGAAAATTCTTTAAGGTACCTTTAATTTTGATTGAAATCGAGTTTTTTGTTCTAAACAAATTTTTTGTCGACTGCAGGGATTGGCGTCTTGTGGAGCCTGGTCTTGCTTTGACGAATTCAATAGAATTGACCTGGAAGTACTTTCTGTAGTAGCTCAACAGATATTAACTATACAGCGAGGTAAGTAGACTTCTCAAAATATTATTTAACTAAAAAAATAGCTTTTAAAGATACACAGCGATAGTTTGATGACCAATTGAGTATCTTATATCACAGAAGCTTTACTAATTTTAAAAAACGATTAAAAGAACTGCGATAAATTCGGACCTCTGCTAATAATTTGGATCCCTAGTTCAGTTTAGTATTAGCAATATGCAAATGATTATTTTTGTAGGAATTAATTCTGGATGCGAGAAACTTCTTTTTGAAGGCACCGAACTAATTTTGGATCCTACTTGTGCTGTTTTCATTACCATGAATCCGGGCTATGCAGGAAGATCAGAATTACCCGACAATTTAAAGGCTCTTTTCAGGTACATATAGCTTATTTTTAATAACAGAGGATGTAAATAAGCCTTTTTTATTTTATTTAGATCTGTTGCTATGATGGTACCAGATTATGCACTCATTTCGGAGATAGAACTGTATGCTTCTGGGTTCCTGACTGCTAAACCTCTTTCTATAAAGATAGTGGCTACCTACAGACTCTGCTCAGAACAGTTAAGCTCGCAACATCATTACGATTATGGTAACTACCTTGATTTCTTTCTCTTATTTATTCCAGAAATTAGGCATCAAAGTCTACTTCATTTTTTGATGGCGCATTTTTACTACTACTACTTTGTCAATTAGTAACATTAAATTGAACCAATTTGACGTTATTACAAAATCATCTTTTTTAGTTATTTAGTAAGTAATTATCAATGTCATAACTAATACAAATTCATATTTTTGTAGGTATGAGAGCTGTAAAATCAGTGCTCAGGGCAGCCGGTGCCTTAAAACTGAGATATCCAAAAGAAAAAGAGGATATTCTGGTACTTCGTTCCATTATCGATATAAATTTGGCCAAGTTTTTGGAACAGGATGTGCCATTATTCGAGGTAATAGAATCTTATAATTATTGTAACAGATCATCGTAACTAATTATTTGCTCTTCCTTGAGAGTTATTTTGTTTCAATTGTGTTCTTTTGATGCTACTAAGTTTTTTTAAACTAAAATAATTTGTAAGCGAAGATCCAACAGAAAAGTATCAAAAACAAATTCAACTTCTTCTTGTTCTTCTAGTGACGTCTTCACTAATGAAGTATTATAACTATAACACTATAACCATTGCAGTTTATATCTTCTGATTTTCTTCAAGGCGTCTATGTGTTTAACCCGGTCCAGTCGCGAATGTCCCCCCCCCCGGTCACCCCCGAAAAGGACCACTTTTTCCTTCGATTTTATCCTTCATAATCAGCTGCAATAACTCGTTCTTATCATACAGTTTTGCAACTGTATATAAATATTTGTAAAAGAATAACAGACTTTTTGATAGTTTCGATTTTCCCCGTATATTTAAACTGAGATTTGCCTATACGAAAAATACAGCTGTTTTAAGAAGTAATTCAAAAGAACAAGGCATCTGCGAAATATCACCACACGTGTGTGTATAAGTTAGGGTTTGAATTCCATCTACAAAATAAGAGTCGAGTTTTATCTTTCAAAGCATAGAGATGTGTATGCGTTTTGGGTTAAGAGTACCTGAAGACTCCGCATCGGTCATGTGGCCGAGAAAGACGTCAAATTTGTGGTTCCTCTATGTACGTCGCTGAAGACATTTGTGATAGCGGGGATGCTATCTTTTCGTAGGGTAAAGTATAATACACCATTTATTTATGTTGCTGCATATATCAAGTAGGTTATTTGGTATATAGATTTTCTTATTTGCTTAGAACAATTAGCTGTATCTATTTTAGCGCATATACTGTATTCTATATTGTATTCTTTTACCACCGATTATAGTTCATGTATGTTTTGTATTAATATTTGTATTAAGTTTAATATAGTTCATATATGTTATGTCTCATTGCATTTTGTGTAACTTTTATTATCAAGCTTTGTTCATTTTGCCACGGGTTAAGGATATTTATTATATGTGCGCATATTTTTCACTCGTTAACGTCTAATATTAATTTATGCGTTATTTCCAATCATACTCAACCATAGCAATCAAAATCTTTAAATTCCTTTGTTGGTAATGTGTTCTTAAAACCTATTCATCGACATCTTTGTTTTGTTTTGGTTATGGATATTTTTGTTGTTTCATATTAACTAATATTTAAGTTTGTTTATATTCTTCTTGGTTGTAATTGTATTTGGTTATGTATATTTATGTTTAATTTCACTTTTTTTTTTAATAGAGTTTTATACATTCCGCTGGCTTTGATTTCTTTTCTTTATTTCAATATACATATCCATTTTGAAAAAGGAGAAACCAGCGAGTTTTAGACTAAACAGAATATCCCTTCAGGATGACCCCAATTGTTATATTGAGGTCATCGTATGTGCAGAACGCAACATATGTATAATCTTTAAAAATGTTTTTAATAAGTGTAAATTAAACTAGCGTTATAAAATTAAAATTCAATATTACATTCAACATTTAACAGAACAGAAATACCTCAACATCATGAACCCACAGCCTCCTCAAATATATTCTTTTATTAAACTACCTTAAATCTGATCACCCAATAAGACCTTTAGTTTCTTTTTTTACAACTCCGCCATATAAACTATTGGAACTAGTTGATAAAATACATTTTTAATTACCTAAAAACTCAAAATTAATTTCATTTGACGTCAAAAACCTTTTTTTTAGTATTCTTCTTTTGTTCTTGTAAGACCTTTTAGACCATAATATTCATTACGTCCGAAATTTTACATCTTCTTGAAATTTGCATAACCCAGGAGTACTTCGAATTTAATAATCAAATATGTAGAAATAACAGTGCAGGACTTATAATGCGTTTTCCTCTAAGCCCATTGCTATCACATATTTTAATTTATCATCTAGAAACAACATCCTGTATTCAAACAGTTTTTGTATTGGTGGAGATACTAGACGATGTACTGGTATGTTTTACAGAAACTAACAGACAACTTTACCAATTCTTATCATATATTAATTCACTTCATAGTCATATTAAATTCACAATAAAAAGAGAACAGAAACAATTAATACATTTTCTAGGTTTAAAAATTATCTAACTTAAAAACAAATATTAGTTCTCAGTATTTCATAGACCTACCTATACTCACACGATTATACACAATTCATCATTCTATCCTACCTAACATAAATTATTAGCATACCATAGCAAGTCAGATAGATTAATATAAATTTCTATGACAAAAATCAACTTCGAGTAAGAGTTGAATATCACTAAGCAAATAGCAGTAAACAATGGGTACAACAAACACACGATAAATAAAATTTTAAATTAAAAACTACATAAGAAAACTCTGAAATTAGTATTTCCAACACCAGAGAAAAAACCCAGTACATTCTGCTTGATTATATATAAAGGCAAGATATTAACAAAAATAGCCAAACACATAAAAAGAAAGAAATAACACCAGCTTTAAGAATAAACAACAACTCAGGCAACTATATTAAGAACAACAAGTGCCAAAAGAAAAAGCAATTACACAGCAGTTCATGCAAACTTAAATGTGATAACTGCCCAAAAATTTACATCGGTCAAACTGGTAGGACTTTTATCAAACGTATAGCAGAACATAAAAGGGTTTTCAATATTAGAAAAAGAGATTCTACGTACTCCCTTCATCTTCTTGATTATAATCATTCTTTTAATGACGAATTTCAAGTTCTTCACATTCAAAATAAAGGCCCTAGGCTGTCTTTACTAGAATCTATAGAAATCAAAAAAAAATTATTCAGTTAAAGACTCTAAAGTATAAACACATACCAAACTAAAGCACTTAAGAAAGGCATTCTGGCCAAAACAGCTCTAGTGATAATAGTTTATAATACATTTTGTGGAAATGTTGTCAAAAAAAGTTTTCAGTTTTATTGTTAGAACGTTAATTCAATTTTATACAAAATATTGCAAAATTTTCTCGAATTTGTGGTCTGTTCCCACTCTTTTAGTAATTTTCCATAATTTTGCCCAATTATCCATAATTTTTCTAAATTCTATTTCAGAATTTTCACACAGTGATAGATAACATCACATAACAATCAAAAACTCTTTTGAGAAATTACAAGTAGAAACAAAAACACTCCAAGGTAACAGAATTGTTGCGTGATTGCATGAAAAAATGATGCGAAATATAAAAAAAATGTGAAAACCAAACTGTAGTATGTAAATACTTTTTTAATATATATATTTCTTGTATTTAGGGTATCACCTCAGACTTGTTTCCCGGAGTGATTTTACCAGAACCAGACTACATTATCCTAGACAAAGCTTGTCGAGACACCTGCGAAACAAGGAACATCCAGTGCACGCCGTTTTTCCTGCAAAAAGTCCAACAACTGTACGAGATGATTATTGTTAGACATGGATTGATGATAGTTGGCTTGCCCTTTGCAGGAAAAACAACTTCCTACAGGGTGTTGGCCGATGCACTTGCGTTGGCCGAGGAAAGAGTAAGTTTTTGAATTAAATTTAGTGGAATTTGCAGCTTTTTTCAGGTTATTTCTACGTAATAGGATTTGATTACTAGTATAACTGATGAGTCTTTAATAATTTAACGATAATTTTATTGTTTAGGGTGGCATGGATGAACACAAAGCTATATACGTTGTAATGAATCCGAAATCGATCACGATGGGTCAACTGTATGGCCAGTTTGATCCAGTATCGCATGAATGGTCTGATGGTGTACTGGCCGTCAGCTTCCGACAATTTGCGATGTCTACCACAGATGATAGGTAAGCTGCTAAACTATAAAAATGTGTTGTATATTATTTTATACATTTCCGAAATTATCTTTTTTCACAAATTTTCCTAATGTACATTTTTTTGTAGCACCAAATATATAGCTTTACAATGTTTCCATAAATATTCAAAATTTTCCATAGTTTTGCTCAATTTTTAAAATTTTTTTTATTACTATAGTGTATTTTTATGCATGAGAGAGTAATAAAACAATAAATTATGTATGCAAATCCCTAAACTGTTGATACGGGTGACTCAATGAAAAACAGATATTTGTCAACAAGTTTACAGAAGTATATAGGAAAACAATTTTAAATTGAGTATGACCACCAGGTATAAAGGTTGGATCAGAATAGAATACAATAGTTGTGAGGGTTACTAATCCCTAAATAAGGTTGCCAGTGTCGGAGTGATGGAGGTTAACAGGTACTAATGAATTTGCAAGAAATTTAAGATGTTTATTTTATTGGTTATATATAACCAATAAAAGTTTAATAAGTACCTGCCTATTTGCAAAATAAAGTTTAATTCTTTAGATAAAATAAAACGTTTTATTTTATCTGAAATGAGTGCATTCCACGAAGTAAGGGTTTCAACAATCAAACATTTAATTCTTTAATTCCAGGAATCTACGACAGTAATTGACTAGATAATTACCTTCTAAACTTATTCCACAGAAAATGTGATAGTGTAATATATATCTTCTTCCTAAGAACTGTGTAAGAGTAATGGATAATGCAAGTTATCACTCCAGACTTATAGAAGGACTGCCCACAACCAAGTGGTTAAAAAAAGACTTGCAGAATTGGCTGAGTTCAAAAAATATTACATACCATCCCGGATCTATAAGAAAGGAACTTTATTCGTTGTGTGCCCTTCATAAAGAAAAATTTAAAAAATACGAAATTGATGAAATTGCCAAAAATCGTGGAATGACAGTACTTAGATCCCCACCATATCATTGTGAATTAAACCCGATTGAACTGGTATGGGCACAGATAAAGAGTGAAGTTTCAAGAAAAAATACCACTTTTAAAATTCATGATGTTAAACAGTTGTTTTTGGAGGCCGTAAATAATGTAAAACCTGAAAACTGGGAAAAGGCAGTAAATCACACTATTAAAGAAGAGGAAAAAATGTGGAAGCTGGAGAATATTACTGATAAAATGATCGAGCCAGTTATTATAAATCTTGGTTCTGAAAGTTCATCTTCTGAATCTGATTTGGATTTGTAACAAGTAGCTGTAAGTTTTATATTAATATTTTTATTCATCTATTTAACATACCTTAGACGGTTTTAAAAACTCTTTTTCTCTTTTGTAATTTTTAAAAATTAAAAAAAATGTGAATTTTTTAAAACCCTTTTTAATGTAGGCCAGTCAGTTCTAATATAGTGTGTGATAAAAGAGGTCACTTTTGTTTACATACATATAACACTTTATAAAACTGAAATAATTCATTTATTTTTTACAATTATTCAAAGTAATTTTTCAATTAATCTTGAGCACGCCCATGGAGTGGTCGGAGGTACCAGTTAAAATTATACTAATTACTCTCTCGTTCATAAAAATAAACTATAGCTTTATTACTTTATTACTAAACTTTTGAAGTTATACTTCTATACGCACGGTCGGCGTTGGAAATTTGCATGAGAGTGAATCTGTGAAAACATTACATATGTAAAATAATGAGTAAGAGAGAGACAGAAGATATATTTTCTCTCTCTTCCTATCTCGAAAATAAAAATGTTCCTTTTTTATATATGAATATTGCTTTTTAATTTAATTTAATATGAATATTGCTTTTTAATTTACATTATATTATTACATTGAATTATGTTGCATTGTATTTATTGTATTGTAATTTTTATATTAATAACAACATAAACAATGAATTTTACTGTAGAGTATGTGTAAAAAAATGTTTTTGCATTCAACTCCTTTTATACATGTATGAAAATAAAAATATATACTTTCATTAAAATATTGATACAATCTTTCATTTCCTATACTCCTATTACATGTCAAATGTTTATATACAGCAAACGATAGACCATATACCTATATAACTAATTATTTTTCCCTTTCTGCTCTCTCTTACCTATAGCATTACATATGTAATGATTGTGCAGATTGACTCCTCTATAAATTTGTAACGGCGAACGCGTGTATAGAAGTATAACATTAGGTAGATGCTAACCGAATCGTTTTTAATTTTTTTTTAATTTCCCTTTTTAATTTTTGTGTGATATCTAGTTTAATATAGTTTTATTAACTGGTGCTCTAGACTGATGCTACAAGCGTCTTAGTTTTCTTTTTTCGATTGTCATTTCGCTGATTTCTTTTGGGTAGTTATTTCCTTTTATTCTTTCGAGATTGTTCGTGCTGTTGTTCCAAGCAGCTTGTTGTACATTATTATTGAGTAATTCTACTTCTGCCTCTAGTTGATCAACGGTTCTTGATCTGAGAGGTTAATCTTCTCTTCAAGGACTATCTGGAAACTTTTCCAGTCAGTATTTTTGTTAACAAGTCTAGGGGGGTTTCTTTTTTAATAACAGTGTCACTGAGTGTAAGAATTTGGAGAATGGCCCGAGTTCATATCCAATGCCTATTCTATCTCTATGTAATTTGTTGAAATATTTCTGACTACAAAGAAGTCGATAAGGTCTGGGATTTTGTTTGTGTCAGTAGGCCAGTATGTTGGCATTCCCGTTGATATTGCGTCTCATTTTATGTATTTCATTGCTTCTAAAAATTCTTTCCCTTTGGTGGTAGTCAGTCGTGACCCCCAATGCGTATGTTTTGCATTTAAGTCTCCTCCAAGGATAAATCTATGTCCCTGACTGGTCAGGAAATCTACATATTGATTTTTCTTGATGGCATATCGTGGCGGACTGTAAACCGCTGTGACGATTACCCCATAGTTTTTACATTGAATTTTTACTGATGTGGCCTGAAATTTTTTAGTTCCGTATCAAATTTCCTGAAATTTCATAATATTTTCTTTGATTATTATTCCACTGCCTCCTTTGACTGTATTATCAGGGTGAGTAGTATGATAAGTTTTATAACCCCTAAATCTAATATATGACTCATTCGTAAAATGGGTTTCAGAAATAAGGCATATGTCTATTTTTTGTTCTATATCTAAAAAACAAAACGATTTCAGTGAATCAAAGTTATCATTTTTTATTTATTATAGGAAATGGCTTATTTTTGATGGTCCTGTAGATGCAGTATGGATAGAAAATATGAATACTGTATTGGACGACAATAAAAAGTTGTGTCTGATGTCTGGGGAAATCATCCAGCTAGCAAATACGACAAACCTAATATACGAACCAATGGATTTGGACGTAGCGTCTCCTGCAACGGTGACTATAAACAATACCTCTTGATTTCTGTTATATTCTGAATGGTTTGTAGGTTTCTAGATGCGGTATGATTTATATGGAACCATCGTCACTAGGTTGGGAACCGCTTTTGCTGTCATGGCTCAATACATTGCCTCCATTCTTAAATACCGATTTCTATAAGACTATGATACTGAATTTATTTATGAGATTTTGTAAACCACTTTTATGGTTGGTTAAAAAAGGAGACCTGAAGGTAAATAAACTGAAATAAATATATCCAGCAAGATGCTGAATGTTGAATTTTTTATAAAAAATAATACTACTGTATTTACTATAAAGTTTTTTCTTTCCTTCTAGGAAATCACCCCCTGCCAAGAAACAAATCTTCTCCAAGCTGTAATGTACTACTTCGACACATTCATGGACGACTTTTACGACGAAAAATATCGAGAGCAGGTTTCCGATCTGGACGTCAGAGCACAAATAGAAGGTTCATTCTTCTTCTCGTGCATTTGGGGCCTAGGTGGAACTTTAGATTTACAAAGTAGGCCAAAATTCAACTTTTTGTTTAGAGCGCTATTAGAGAAAGATTTTAATCAATCAGTGAGCAAGACTATTAAATATCCGTATGAGATCAATAAGCCCGACAAACCGTATATATTTTCTTTGCCAGCAGGAGAGACATGTTTTGATTATAGATTTATAAAGGAGGTAAGTAAGGAGCTTTTAGATTGCTGTTTCTTAAAGGCTTATTCTTATATAGCGATAATGTATTTTATTATTAGAAAATAAATGTGTGTGTGTGTTATTGGAGTTAGTATTAACATTGAAAACTATTCTATGGCATTGACACTTAAAGTCCATTTAATCTAACGTGTTTTATTTTTTTTTTGTTTTAATAATATTATTAAAATAGCCCACAAGTATTACGGGAATTACTGGCGTATGTCTTCACCTTATTTTATAATGGATACGACCACCGGAGTGGACAAAAGCTCATATTAACAACATCTATAAAAAAGGAGATAGAAAGAATTGTTCAAACTACAGGGGGCTAAGTGTCATAAATTTACTCTCAAGACTACATGGAAAAATAATAAATAAAATTGAAAAAGAGATGACAGATGTAGAAGAACAGAATGGCTTTCGTGCAAGCAGATCCTGTATGGACAGTATATTCTCTCTAAAGCAAGTTATCGAGAAAAGATTAGCCCACAACCTTTTAACTCATATAGTCTTTATAGATCTGACAAAGGCATACGATAGTGTACAACTTTCAATGCTTTGGGTAGCAATGAAAAAACAAGGAATAAGCAAAAAAATATACAATTAGTACAACAGCTCTACAAAAACATGACGGCAAACATTAAAACTGAAAATAGATTAACTAGAGAAATTCCTATTAGTAAGGGCCTAAAGCAAGGCTGCTGCATAGCACCTACACTCTTCAAAATATATCTAAATAAGGCACTCCACTGTGTAGAAGAAAGTGCTGTAATATGGACATCCCAATCGGAGATGATAGATTGTACACGATAAACTTCGCTGACGATCAAGCCATTCTAGCTGAAGGCGAGAGTGATGTAGGATACATGCTTAGAAAACTGGAAGATGAGTACACCAAATGGGGCTCCATAATTAATATACAAAAAACTGAGTACTTTGTTGTAGGAGAGAAACCAGAAAGCCTACAAATCGAAATGGGAACTATAAAACCAACAAACAATTTTAAATAATTTGGAGTCCAAATAACATCAAAAGCAGGAAGTAGCTAAGAAATACATTCCAGGATTGGCCAAGCAAGATCAGCCACCAGACAGCTACACGGACTATTATGGAACAAAAAAATATCAAAAGAAAATTAAAGAAGAATTTATAAAACAATAATAGAAAGTATTGGACTGTACGGCGCCGAACTCTGGGAAATAAACCAAAGAAACAAATCAAAAATTAAGGCCATGGAAATAAACTACTGGAGACAATGTTGCCAGCTCACTAGACTTGATAGGGTGAGAAACGAAGATATTCGGAGAGAAATGGAACTCGATCTAGACATAATAGACACAATCGAAGCCAAAAGACTTACCTGGTATGGACACCTTCAGAGAATGCCGGAAAATAGATGACCAAAAAAAATAGAAGAATGGACTCTGCCAACTAGAAGAAAACGAGGTAGACCAACTGTAGACCAACCGAGGTAGTACTGTGCTATTATTTCCCATGGCCTTACTTCCATCTTCTCCAGGTCTTCCCTGACTGCGTCTTTCCACCAATTTCTAGTCCTCCTGTCGATCTTCTACCATCTGGTCTTTCCCAAAACACATTGCTAATCAGTTTATCGTCATCACTCCGTACCACGTGGCCTGCCCATCTTAATCTATTGGCTTTTATGTATCTTACGATGTTTCCTTTCCCGAAAAGAGTCTCTATTTCATTGTTGTATCTGCTCCTCCATTCATTTGTCACGCTGTCCCTGCAAGGACGATATATAATTCGCAGGATTTTGCGATCCCATACTAATAGCTTATTGATTTCTTTCTTTCTCAATGTCCATGTTTCACTTCCATATGTCACTGCTGGTCGTATTATGGTTTTGTACATTTGGATTTTGGCACGCCTTGAGAGAAGCTTTGAACTCATTAGATGTTGAATGGCAAAGAATGATTTATTCCCCGCCAGTATTCGTATTTCAACCTCCCGTTCTCCTGTGTTTTCACTGGTAATTGTTGCTCCTAGGTATTTTAATTCTTTGACCACCTCAAAATTATGATCGTTTATGGTAATGTTTTGTCTTATTCGCTGTCGTTCCTTTTTTGATACGACCATGTATTTAGTTTTTTCTTCCTTTATTTTCAGGCCTACGCTTAGACTTGCTTCTTCAAAGTTCGATACTATATCCTTAACTTCCAGTGTTGTCTGTGCTACTGCATCTACATCATCTGCAAATGCGAGAATAAATCTTTGCTCCTCTGGCAGTTATGTCTGGTTTGACTCTGGTATACATTTTTCGCATTGCGTATTCCAATGCTAGGTTAAATAGTAATGGGGACAGCGGGTCTCCCTGTCTGAGCCCGGTGCTTATGCCGAAAGCCTTTGAAGTTTTGCCTCGTATTCTAATTTGTGCAAAGGAATTGTTGACATACATTCGCGCAATCATGGTCAGCTAAAATATGATAAACGTGATAGTGAATAACATAAATTGATATACATATAATATACATTATATTGTGTTTTGATTCCATTTTCATTTCGCGTCTTCAACGATTATGCAGCCTTATTCTATTTTTGGCCTTTTCCTATTTGCGTTTTCGTTTTGTGTTTATATTCCTGGTGTTTCTTTACATGTCGATCTCATTCAGAGTCCAGTAAAATCCAAACTAGATGATTGTTTCTGTTATTATTGAAAAAAAGGACAGTAGACGGGAATACGTTAAACGCAAGAATGTCAGTCATTCACAGTCACAGTTATATGGAATGTCATAGTTACCACTTGGAGAGGTCTTGAGATCTTGAGAAATCTTGAGAAACCATTAAATTTTTATGAGTTGTCTTTTAATGCGTATTGTAAGTATTATGCGTTTTTTTATCCCGAAGCTTGGAAGCGATTTTACGCAAATACTCTGGTCAATTTTCTTGAATAGTATTTTAAAAGTCTGTAAATTCACATATAAATATGAAACGTTTTTGTAATTTGCATTTGATGATCTTTCTGTTATATATTAAAATTTTTTTATTGTGTTCGTCCTAGGGTAAAGGCAAATGGAAGCTTTGGTCGGACGAACTGATGTCTGCCCCGCCTATCCCGAGGGACATTCCCGTAAATCAAATTATTGTGACAACGGTCGAGACTATTAGAAATATGGCTTTGATGCAGTTGTTGGTTCAGCACAACAAAGCGATGATGATCATCGGGCCGACGGGCACGGGGAAATCAGTTTACATCACAGTGAGTACGATTTTAACGTATTAGGTATCGGTATAGAGCCATGCATTTTTCATAGAATTGCATCATTATATGCTGTATCCATAAAGTATGGAATTAATTTATTATATTCTAAAACAAACTTAATTATACGTTCTGATACACAATATTGTAATGTAAAACTTAGGGGATGGATAATAAAATGAACACTTAATATTTTTCTGAAGCTATTTTCTTGTGGCATTTTAAAGTAATTACTATTTAAATGGGAATAAGCCACAATTAAAGGTTAAAGTACTTTTATTGACGTTTCATTCCACTTCGGAAGTCGTTCTCAAAATACAAACATTAGTAAATTAAACAATTTTTTTAAAGGCAAGAAGATGTCCCATTTATTCTATCACTAGACAAAATTGAATTGTATGAACAACTGGAATAATTATATGAAAGGTTACCCAGAAATGGTATAGTACTAATGGTTGGTGACTTCAATTCAAAAGTAGGCAAAGAAACCCAGTATAAGGAACTAGCAGGGAAAGAAACTATTCACGACGAGACCAATGATAACGGAAGAAAATTATGCCAATTAACAGCAATAACAAACAGTTACATTATAAGCACAAACTTCATGTATAGAAGAGAACATAAACTAACATGGTTGATACCTGGCACAACAGATGGCAATCAGATAGATCACATACTAATATCCAAAAAATGGAAAGCAATAATGCACGATATGTCAGATCATATAGAGGAGCAAATGCGGACACAGACCACAGACTAGTAATAGGAGAAATTAAAATAAAGATAATTAAAGCAGAGAGAACAAGACAAAACAAAAGAAGATGGAACCTGGAGAAGTTAAAAGTACAGGAATTAAGAGATACAAAAAAATCCATTTTGAATTCAGCTGAAAAGGTGCTAGGACAGGGGGAAACAAAAAGAAAGAAAGAGTGGTTTGATGCAGAATGCGAAATCAAAATCAAACAGAAAAACTAAGCAAGAGATAAATGGATATCAACTAAAGAAGAACATCATCGAAACGAATATAAAGAAAAAAGAAAGCAGCGGATAATTGTTGCAAGAACAAAATAACTGTGGATTTAAAAGCTGTTAAAGGACCTAGAAAAGAATAGTAAAGACAGCGCCAAACTATTTGGATTCCTAAAAGCTCAACAAAGAAAAGGCAGACCAAGATGAAATTCCCAATAAGCTAATTAAAAGCGGAGGAGAAAGGATATTAACAAGCATCTATAACCTAATAGTTAGAATATGGGAAACAGAAGAAATTGCCCGAGGATTGGAAAGAAGGCAGAATTATACCAATATTTAAGAAAGAAGAAGTAAAAAACTAATAACTATAGAGCAATATCTCTCCTGAGCACAACATATAAAATTCTAACAGCCCTCATTTAACAAAAACTCACTCAATTCACAGAGAAAAAAAATTGGGGACTACCAGCAAGGATTCAGAGAAGGCAGATTCACTACAGATGCGATCCACATAGTTACACAAACAATTGAAAAATGCTACGAATACAACATAGAACTCCACATCCTCTTCGTAGACTTTAGACAAGCCTTTGACTGTATTGGAAGAAATAAGTTATTTATTGAAATGAAAAATCAAGATGTACCACCAAAATTAATCAGATTAACAAAAATGACCATGGACGGAGCTCTAGCAAAAGTAACAATAGAAAAAGGTAGCACAAAATCAATTGCAATTGAAACAGAAGTGCGACAAGGTGATTCCCTGTCAACCACATTATTCAACATAGCAGTAGAAGGAACAGTCGACGCCAGCAAAATTAAAGGAACTAATTTGTTATGGGAAGAGACAAGAAAATATTAAAAGAAGCAGTAACAATTCCGACAAAAGAAGTACGGAAAAGAGGTCTCGAAATTAAAGAAGGAAAAACAAAATATCTACTCTGCTCTAGAAGAGAAGATAACAGGACGAGAGAAATCAAAATAGTAAAATACTCTTTTGAAAGAGTCCAACAATTTAAATATTTGGAAGTAATAGTAAATGGTCAAAACAAGAGCAGTAAAGAAGTAACGGAACGAATACTAGCAGGCAACAAAACACACTGAAGATATCATAGGCTTATGAAGGACAAAAACTTATCCAGAAATACAAAACTGAAAATATACAGACTTGCAATCAGAAAAGTAGTTACGTACGCAGCTGAGACAATTTGTCTCACAAAAAAGATGAAGAAAAATTTAGAATTTTAAAAGGAAAATCCTCAGACGGATTATGGTCCCGATAAGAATAGACAACGGCGAAATGAAAAGAAGAATAAACCATGAACTAAGAGACATACTGAAGGGAGAAGATCTAGTTAGATTTATTAAAGCACAGAGGTTGAGATGGCTGGGACACATAGAGAAAAGGAAAAAAGACCTACTGATTAAGAAGATCACCAGATGAAAACCACCAACTGAAAGATCAAGGGGAAGACCCAGAGACAGATGGGAGGACCAGGTCAAGAAAGATATCTGGAAAGATATATCAAATTCTGGAAGTGAGAAACTGGAGGGAACTATGCACATATCGAAACGAGTGGAAGAAAATTGGAACGGAAGCTAAGCCATACAACAAACTTTGACAACATACAAGTGGAATGCGGAGTGATTCACCGCAATAAGCGAATCAGAGAGCTCTAAGTAAGGCCAGCAAACATTCCACCCGGAATGAAAAGCGCTGATGATGATGAGACAAGGTAATAAAGCTGTTAAACGCAAAAACTATAAACAAGAATGTGGTACAAATAATATAATATGCAAACGATATAACCATAGTAGCAACAGATAAAAAGGCAATAAAGAAAACTTCTAAGAAATAGAAAACGAAGCCAAACTGAGAGAATTGGAAATAAAAAAAACATTTGTTTAATTTACTAATGTTTGTATTTTGAAAACGATTTCCGATGTGGAAATTGAAACGTCGATAAACGTACTTTAACCTTGAATTGTGGCTTATTCCCATTAAATAGTAATTACCTTAAAATAAACACAATGCGATAATTGTTTACATTTTTTTTCTTGATTTAAAAATAGGCAAAACAAAGGCTTTGTTCTTAGAATTCTTGAAATGTTCCCTAAGTTAGTACAATGGCTGAGACAGTGAATATCTAAATTGATAGTTACTTTGTACAGCTGGTTCCTAAAAAAAAACTGATACAACTCTTAAAGCGTAGAAAATTAAGCAGTGTGTTTTGAATAATAAATATTTATTATTTACATACTGCCACTGGCACTATCAAATCTTAAAATGTCAGATAACTTGTTTTGTTCAACCTCAAAAAATGGCTCTACATGCTAGCAAAGAACTAAAAGCAAGGATTGTTTAGATTACTAAATTAGAACATGGTTGGTCCCGTAGAGAACCATTTTAATGTAAGACGAACAACAGTTTTTAATATTAATAAAAGATGAAAAGAACAAGAAAGTCTGATAAGAAAGCTAGGTTCTGGAAGACCAAAAATATCTTTATTTTCCTTTTTCCCAGGTTCAATGGACCGGCCAGTCCCTAGACTTTAAAACGTGGAAAACTATGAATATGATAAGAACGTGGTTTGCTCCAGTAAAATCAAACATGGCAAAATGGGGAAAAATAGACCAAGATGATGTGAACTGTGACTGTTGAAAAACACAGAATATGGAACATCTTACATGCAGAAACTGTTGTCATCGATGTACCCTCAAAGATTTGTGACTCGCCAATAAAGATGGAATCGACATAGCCCGATACTAGGCCGAAATTTTATGAATGACATGTCCTGACACGATAAAGTAAAGTAAGTAAGCAACCGGAGAAAAGCTTGGATCCAAGGGAACATAACTCTCTTGAGGCAAAGTCGGCTACATACAAAAGCACTGCTTTATGAAGACTTAAACAGTGGATAATCTGAAATAGATATCATTTGTAAATGTAAGCGAATAAGTTAACTAGCTGGAATACTACTGGTTTAGAATAGATGGCAAATGATGCAATTTTATCTACTTTTATTATATGAAAGGTGTATTAAGTTTGAAATTAATAAACTATTTTTGTAGGACTTTCTTCTGAAGAGAATTTCGAAAACTTACATACCACTATTTATAAACTTTTCCGCCCAAACTACCGCCAACCAAACACAGAATATAATCATGTCCAAATTGGACAAAAGACGAAAAGGTAAGAACAATTCTTAAAATATACCACATTGCATTAACTTTCTTCCAACTATTACAACGTTATTTTGTACATTTAGTACATTTGTTCTGCGATTGTGTATCATGTCTTTAAATATAGAGGTGTCTTCTTCTTAACGTGCCCTATCAAGTCCCCTTGACGTTGGCGATTAACATGGCGAAACTGTCTCTGTCTCGAGCTATTCTAAAGAATTGCTCAGCTTTCCTTATTCCTGTCCACTCCCTGATATTCTTCAATGAAGAGGCCTGCTTTCTACCAATTCCTCTACGTCCTTCGATTAGATAGAGGTGTACGATACTATTTGTTGAATAAGCAACATAAACTCTGTTTTTATTAGCAATACCTTTACCAGGATCCTAGGAAAGCTTTATAGAAATACAACTTCATCATCATCATCTTTTACTCGACAATTCTCTGTGGATTCTGGCCTGTTCCAAGATTCCTCGTCATCTTTCTTCAAGATTCGTGGGCTTCTAGCAAACTGTTGCCATCTTGTGATTTATAATACCTCTAAGTTGGTCTCATCTCTATCCAACCACCCAATTCGCAGCCTGTCTGTCAAAGCTAGTCGTCGTTCTATAGATATGCCTTTTCTGAAAATAGTATCGTTTCTCCCCATTGGGGCTCCAATACTGTTAAGAAGAAAGTCAAAATCCACTCGTGACATCCGAGTAGTTTCTGAAAGTTTCTTCTGTTTCGTTTTAAGCAGATGCTAACATTTGGGTATTCTTTTCCCTGTATAGTTTTCTCCGCTACCATTGCTTTTTATGTTGTTTCTTTTCCGTGTTCAGGGTTCAAGATTAAGCAAAAGGCCTTCGACAAAACAGATCCACTAGAGATGCTATAATCATAGCAAGACAAATTAAATAAAACACCAGTCCCACAGAATGGCAAATTCTAGTAGAGATTTATATAAATATTATATCTCGTTATAGACTTAAAGAGCTTTGAATAGACCTGGACCAGGTTTTTCTGTGCAAAGCTGGTCAAGACCTTTTTAAGACCTGTTTAAGACCTGATAAGAGGTGTTAGATTGGTGACTAGAATCTAGAATTCCAATATGAATAAGGATTTAATTAGAAAAAAAGATATCGAAGGGCCAAAGTTTAAAGTACGCTAAAGTGCATACTTATCTATTAAGCACAGTGTCATAAAATTGTGCTCTTAATAGCTTTATGAGCGAAGTTTAATATCTTATTACTTTTATGTCAAATTTTTGCATCTCTATTAAATATTTTAGGTGTTTTTGGTCCGCCTGTATTGAAAAAATGTGTAATATTCGTCGATGACGTCAACATGCCGACCAAAGAAATATATGGAGCTCAACCACCCATAGAATTGTTGAGGCAATGGTTCGACCACGAAATCTGGTACGATCTCAAAGATATTGTACCCATGAGACTAATTGACATACAGGTAAGTTAATAAAAATCGAATAAGAGTTTTTTATATCGTCATTATGATTCTCCTTGGCTGTAATTATAATCAGAGCCGGTTGTCAAAGCCTTCGTTAAATAATTAACTAAAATATTTTTGGTAGTTTTTTGGAATCATATGTACCTACTTTATATTTATTTTATAGTATATTATAGTAGTATAATATAGTAATAAGTAATTTGCTATTGAAGGAGACACCAATAAATTATGTTAAATAATATTATCAATGCATTTTTATAAAGATCATATATATATATATATATATATATATATATATATATATATATATATATATATATATATATATATAATATATATATATAATATATATATATATATATTGTTATGCTATTTAAATTGTATTCTATTGCTTATTTAGAAAAGACCCTGTCTATATTTATTAAATGATCTAATCTCCAATTAATCACAATAAATCAGCATTAATTAATTACAATCTCAGGCTATTTAACTTGTACTATTTACCTTTGATCGTGGATTCAAAATATTTTCCAATTGGCTTCCTAATTGGGATAGGTAATATGACCTGAATAAAATACACAGAATTTCAACTGAACTATATGTGAGATGTCCTTTATTTTAATGAAATTTTATATAACAATCAATCCTGTAATATTTGCAATATAATACTTTAAATATATATGAGAAGTTGTTTTCTATCATGGACCCAAATGTTATTTTGCATTGATTTTTAATATGTGTTATAACTAAGCTCTCTTTATAATTTTTTTCTTTAAATGATTGCAAAATTAACTGTCTCTATTATTTATTCAATTTATTTAATTAATAAATGAAAACCATACTCCTGCTCTAATGAAAATTGACTGACCTTTCGTTCTCTGCCGTTGTAATTCTATGGCCACGCCATAAAAAAAAAACCTTTCTCTGCTTCTGCTCCTATTGTGGTCCAGATGACGTACACCTTTCTCCTATCTGTCCTTGTATCTGCAACCCAACAACTCGTGTAATTCTATGCAGCCTCCTTTTGAGCGAATCTCCGCGCCTGTTTATAACTTCAAATGTTTCCGGCTTCGTCTGATATTAATATTCTTATACCCTTTGGTTTTTCTATCTCTCTGTACCCCGTTCCTTACACTGATCAGCTTTTACACAGCAAATAAACACACCCGGTAAATTACGTCTTCGGGACTTCAAACAAACACAAACCACAAAGCTCCTTCCTTCTTGGGCGACGAAAACTGACTAACTAACTTTTTTTCTCTCTCCTATCTCATAGCCAAAACCACTACCTCCTGCATTCAAAAATTGACCAATAAAAATCATCCACCTCTGTGACGTATATCGTTACCAGCCAACTCTCTCTATAAAACGTCATTCGGGTAATTCCAGAAAACAACATTCTTTAATTATTCTAACTAAATCTATCTGCTTTACAAATATTTCTTACTAATAGCTACAAACGATACCTGTTTCTCAATTCAATGTCTTTTGTTAATAAACTTTTACCGATATAATCTTTCGGGGGGAAAAACCACCGCACATCCCGGTCTATTGTTTAAACACTTTCTATATACACTTTTATTACGGGTAAATCCATTCCACAATAACCGACTTATTTAAATTTCTTATCGATAATATTTGAAAGTCTTGTCTCTGAGGCCTAATGAACAATTCTTCGAACAACTTAAAATACATATTTTGTCTTATACAGGATGTTTGAAAATTTATATGCCCGTGTCTTTATGAAATATCAATAATTTTAATTTTTATTTAAGTAATAAAATTTGTATATCGGTTTTTTATTGCTTATGGACATTCAAAAGTACAACAATATATATACATATATATATATATATATATATATATATATATATATATATATATATATTTAACTATTTTGCCAATTTTTATTAAACAATTTATTTTGCCCATATCTTCTCAAACTTAAGAATATTTTTTATGTTAAAAAAAGTCCAAAATCGGATAAGTTGTACTGAAAAAGTTTTTAACACTTCTCCTGCCAGATGTGCCTGTATTTTCTTCTTATTTTATTTGTTTTTTCTTTTTTAGTTCATGTGTGCCATGTGTCCCCCTACTGGTGGTGGAAATGTGATAACTCCTAGATTTTCCAGACACTTTGTCCATCTTTGTATTGATGAATTTCAGGATTCTGTTCTGATCAATATTTTCAGCAAAATAATGCTTTGGCATTTGGACACCAGGTAAGAATGTACTATAGAATTATGTATACTTGTTCAATCTATTTATTAAAATGATAAAAATCAAAAAATTTATTAACCTTTTGAGTCATGTTGAAAGTAGGTAAGTTTTAAAAAATGGTTTTTTTTAATGGCTTTGGCGGTCAGAACTACAAATAATGTGTTAACAACCAGATGGTTCAGAACAACCGTGTATAGCAATATATTTATAAGCTATTTCTCACATTGTCTAAACAGGATGAAAATGAACCTTATAACGGCATTAAAAGAACGTATGTTAATGCTTTCTCATCCAGATTATCCACAGCAGGATCTTAAATTGTTGAAAACTATTTTAATTGAGAACTCTTATCCTCCAAATATGCTACATAGGATGTTTTTTTCCAATATATTATATATATATATATATATATATATTTTTATATAATGTTAATATAAATAACTTGACACTTTTTTGAAATCTCAGAACATTGGTTCCAACAATCAGATACAAATACTAAAGCTTATTGTCAATATAAAAATAGCAACAAAAAACATCAATACTATTCTATATCTATATCTTTATATTCTAAAACTAAATATACTACAAATAAATTAGATAAAACATATTTAGTACATACCATTAATTGTATTTAGTGTGAAGCTGTGTGTTGGTGAAACGTGGAGAAATTTATCAAATCGAATTATTTTCCATAAGAGTGATTGTATAAAAAAAACCGTCTTGTGCTTTGGCAGAACATGTAATTGACAAAATACTCCAGAATCTCGAGACACATATAGAAGAATACGAAACGAAACAAAGCAGTTTGTAAGAATAACAAAAAATTAGCACTATGAACAGTTTGCAAAAAGGATGGAAAGCGATTTCTACGGTACACAAAAATAAATATGGAGATTCATAAGAAACCAACAGAAAGAAATGGCAAAATTGAAGGAATAGAATAACATACCAACAAAGGAATGGGAAAGGTACCTGACGGAATTGTTAAAAAGAAAGGAAAATAATAATCAACATAATAACGTACCTGAATTAACACACGAAGTATAAATCAGTTTTCAGGAAGTAGAGATAGTCATAAATTCACTCAAAAACAGGAAGTCACCAGGACCAGACGGAATAATCAACGAGCTTCTAAAACACGGAAGAGAAAAAATAACCCTAGAGATGACAAAACTTATACAAAAACTAATATTGCACTACAAGATATCAGACGCATGAAGAAACAGCATAAATCTACTGAACACCGCACTTAAACTTACCACAAAAGTCTTAACCAACAAAATCAATAAACTAACAACTTCATCAGATGAACAACAAGGATTCGGATCCGGAAGATCTTACGTAGACACTATATTTGTACTACGACAAATCACAGAAAAGGCCATCGAGTACACCTACTGTATAAGAGAAACATACCAATCAATATTATACAAACCATCGAAAACATCCACTTCGATAATCAAATACAGACAAAGATAAATGGAAAAATAACACAGTTTATACCAGTACAAAGCGGAGTCAGACTCATTAAGCACAATTCTCTTTAATATAATAATAGACGATATAATACAAGTAGTACGTAAAGGTTATTGCTGCAGAATGGGGAACAAAGAAATCCAAATATTATGTTATGCGGACGTTATGTTATGTTATGCATCCAAGCACGAATCAAAGTTTAGATATCTGGGAATAGATACAACTAGTTACAGAGATGTTGAAGAAGTACGACAATAAAGCTTAAAAGCAAGTAAAGCGGAGGGATATCTTAATGACACAATCTGGAAGAACAAACACATAAGACAAGAAAACAAAAACAAGAATCTATAAAGTAGCAATTAAACATATATTAAAATAAGCGGCGGAGACAAGAACTGACACATCAAAAAGGAGACGACTGCTAGAAATAACAGAGATGAAAATACTTTGACGAATATCAGAGAAAAGTCTGTTGGATAGAAGAGGAAGTGAAAACATAAGAAGAGTATGCAATATAGAAGTCATAAATGGATGGGTGACAAAACGGAAACAGGAGTAGTAGAATTTATTGGGATGTAGATAGGACAAGCAAAACAAATCGAAACTTATACAACCGGCACTCAGGGTTTTATTTGGAAAGCTGGGTCGTGGATAAGTTGAAAGGCAAGAGGGTTGGATTGGGGCAACTAAGAATGAATATGAATCTCCTGGACAAATGGGCAAACAAAAACAACAAGAAGGACCCTTTACCTGTTTTAAATGGGTCGCCGCCTCAAGGAAACTTCCTGCTGGATGACAGAGAAGGTTATTCCGTCCTAAAAAACACATGAAAAAGGATTAGAATATTTTTTAAAATAAATAAATATAATAGTTCATAGAAGTCTCACCACAAACAGTTACAAATACAGATAATACAAAAATAATTACTATATAAATAGTTATAAAGATTTATACCAAAATAACAAAGAAGAAAAACTTACTTACAAAAATAAGGTTAAAATGGCACTAAACGCAAACGTTGGATTTGGCTTCTTAAAAAAAATAGGAATAGGTACAGCTGGACACAATGGCAACATTTTAAATCTCACTTTAACTGTAACTAATATTGGACTGCTACTATTCACTATATATTTGGACCCACACTGAAGCCAACTGCCTCTGACGGCGGACTCAGCGAGAATGAGTTAATTCTTAAAAATCATTCGCTTAACTTGGTATAAACAAAAGACTTAGACGGGAACGGGAACGCAAAATATCCTAAAAGCGGATTCGATCAAAAGAATACCGAGGAATATGCGTCTGTGAAATATATACAAACTCTAAAAATGTGTTTATATCAACTCGGCCAATATGTCCAAATATGAGAGGATTTCAAGATATACCAACGAATTTAGAAATGCTACAGTGGAACGAACACATTAGTAGAATGGTAGAGGATAGGTTAGTACGAATAGCACGAGATAAGTCACTAAATTGACGAAGAAGTATTGGCAGATCCAGAAAAAGATAATAGGATAATTTTAACAATTTATTAGGCTAATATTGAAGAAGAAACAGGCTTTAAAACCTACACACAAGAAGGAAGAAGAAGACAAACTATACGTAAATGCATAATACAGAAAGCATTTAGTGAAGACTCAATTTCGTCAGTAAACCAATTTATAGGCTAAGTTATAATAAAGGTTTAAACAACCCTTTTAAAGATTATTCATTTATAGCTCTACCTTTTTGCAGACATAACACTTAACCACAATAATTTATAAAGAAAATTCTGTAAATACACATTTTGTCTAACTCCAAAGCTTATCTTTCATGATAGTTTTACAAATTTGTATTGAGTAACTGCAAGAAATTCTCACAGACATACGAACAAATGATTTGTATTCTTTTCAGAAATTTTCCACAACAACGTTACATGCAGACTTGGAGTTCTTATTTTATTCCTGTTACTCGCGAGGCGGTTCTTTTTACTTTATAAGGTTATTCAGACATTTTCTGCATCACGAAAGGATCAACAAATAAAATGAAACTAATATACTGTAACATATAACACACGTAAAGACACACACGCAATAAGACAAAGAAGGATATATATCACCGAGGCATCAGTAGAGAATTTCTTGACGTTTTCGCCATAGTTGCATCAAATTTAGATTTAAAGGGGATTAATTTTTTTTTCGATAATTGGTTTGCAAATGATACCTACTTGTGTTTCGTCTATAGTTGATATTTACGAGTACTATGCTCTAAAATAGTTATGTCAAAACTGAAGATCACTGGTGAGACAAAAGCATTTAGACCAGGGGTGCTCAAACGGTCGATCGCGATCGACTGGTCGATCGCGAGTGCTTTTTGGGTAGATCTCGAGAAGAAAAAAAATTTTAATAAGTAGGTAGGTAACTAAACTACTGTCAGTACAGTTAAACGTTTTTATTAATACTGAACTATACAAATACATAGAATGCTTGAATAAGCATCATTGCAATTCAAAGAAGTGGGGACAACAAAATACTCTCCACACAGCATATTTTATATTAACATATTTAATTAAAAAATTAAAAAATTAAAAAAACCCTTTGTAATAGATATATTTTAGGTCCAAACGGGCTAAGTTAAAAAGACAAAACGTTTTCGGAAACCATGTTCCATCATCAGTGTCCTAGAAAATAGTTAACCACTTAATTAAAAAGAACATAGGTTAAAATTTTGACTAAGGTTAAAGAACAATGTGGTTAATACTTACTAGGAGTACATGAATGTAGCCACCAAGATTAAATATGTGGGTAAAAACCCGATTACAGATGTTTAATTACATTTAGTTTTAAAATAATGATATAATGATTTAGGATTATAGAGTTACCGATGGATTAGGTAACATGGCGACATATGACTCCACGTTGAAGTTGCTAGTCCTGAGATGGTATGTCTTCGAGGACTGTATGAGTGCAACTGATTGGCAATGACATTTGATGACAATATTGTTAAGTTATGACGGAAATAATCACAGAGCAGTCAATGTAGCTGTATGTTTCTACTTAAGACAAAAGCCAACGTTATTTAAAATTGTGAAAATTAAATAAATTAATATAACAGTATCAACCATCAAAGTTGTAGTTTTTAATTTATGAAATTAAGATGATATAAGGGAGCTTATATCATCTTAATGACTGAAATAACAAGTCAGTTTAATATGAACTCATGTTCTGTTGAAAATGAGTTGGTGCAGATTATAACAGATATACATTTCAAAGCTACAGTATCTGATACAAATTTCTGGCGTTTTATATCTGAAGATAAATATCCGAATGTAAGGCAAATCGCCCTTCAACTGACGGCATTTTTTGGGTCAACTTACTTGTGCGAGTCTGCATTTTCTGAAATGAAGATAATTAAGTCAAAATATCGCAACCGACTAACTTTATAAAGCTGTTAAATAAATAAACGTTGTCCGATGGTAGCTATTTTTGACGATTCTCATAAGATTAATAAAATTTATCACTACATCTCTAAAACCTGTAACATGAAA